AACTATCCGCAAAATTCATGAAGAAGGCAGAATGGCCATATTGGATGTTGAACCACAGGCACTGAAAGTTTTACGGACTGCTGAATTTGCACCTTACGTCGTTTTCATCGCTGCACCAGCATTTGCAAATGTTACGGATGTAAGTATAAACATAAATTCACAAAAAAATTAAACTGCTATTTTGGATATTTTTCGCAAATTGTAGCTCGCATAACGATTTAGCGAATGCATTTTATTATAATATAAAATTTCTTGACCTGGAGAAACATATATAATAAAAAATATATATAAATTTATATAAAAACATAAAGTTATATAAAAAATTGAATAAAATTTTCCATTCTCTCTCTCTCTCTCTCTTTCTCTCTCTCTCTCTCTCTCTCTCTCTCTCTCAATTATAACTCTACAATAATTAATTTGAAGTATATTAATTATGTACATTATAATTGATAATGTTAATTTATTAACAATATTTTATTGGTTTTTGTTTAATATACATATTTTTAAAATTTTGTTTGGGATTGCTAATCATTTATTTTTATGTAAACGAGATAATTTTAAATTGCAAACGTTATTTACTTTTCGCATTAAACAACGATGTATAATTAATCAAGAACGGCATGTCTAGAAAGGATATGCTAATTTATCTTTCCATGGTACACGTTTTCTAACTAAAACATAAACGTACTAGCCTTAAAACGTTTACCATGTAAACTGAGATTAATGTTTAACAGGGTCTACAATAATTCACATAATACAACGGCAAGTTACAAGCTAAAGAGCTTATCGAAGAGTACGTATATACAAATCACCGATATCAGCAAATATTCCCTTTAAGCTGAACGTATCTTGATTCTTGATGTGTGATGCGAGTAGGAATACTTGGCACGCCAATTAAGCAATTAAGCAAACCGTTCAGTGATCTTGACTATAATCATGAATTTGCCGAATTAATCAGGCAAACGATTACCGCTCCACTTGTTCTGAATGACTAATCGACTGATAGTAGTCCGTTAATACACTTGAGAGGAAATTAAAGGATTTTGATGATGATGATATTAAATATAATCCATATAAATACATATAAGTAAAGACTATTACATTCCCTATTCTACGTTGAATTAAATGCATAATCAAATTTACTTCATTTTCATAAAAAAAAATATGTGGAATTATTCAAATGTATAAGTTATTCAACGTGAAAATATACAGACACTCACTAAAAAAGAAACGTGAAAAGATGGATAAAATGTTTTCGTAGAAAATTACATCAAAATTATATTATATTACGCAAAATTATATTCTGAACATTTTCGAACTGAATCGATTTTCTATTAAGCATACAAGTACGATTTTTATATAAACGTCTCTTGTGCTTTCAGTTCGACGGTAGTTTAGAACGTTTGGCGAAAGAGTCGGACATGCTGAAGCAAGCATATGGGCACTTCTTCGATTTGACCATCGTGAACAACGATCTCGATGAGACGATCGCCCAATTGGAGGCTGCGATTGAACGCGTTCACACGACACCACAATGGGTACCCGTTTCTTGGGTCTACTGACAGCGGTCTTCGCCGATTCGTCACATCGTCACCACGGATTGCAATGGCTCATCGAGGATGAAACAGTGATCGCTGGTGCCGTGACGATTATCGTATCACGGTCGGTCCTCTCGGCGCAAGGATTTGACGTCAACAGTCATCGGCGTCCAACAGGAATACGCCGCAGACAATTACGTCGTACACGTAGGATATACTCAACGTACCAGCAAACATACTCGCCGTCGATCGGCTCGACGGTGAAAACGATCAAAGTGCGTGACTATACGATGGCCGTGTGTTCATTCTTTCCATCGCTGCGTAATTGTTATTATCAGTCGCGAGACACGAGAGGAGACCAGCGACGTATCGTAGTCATCCTGATCCATCGATGAGTATCGCTGTTGCGTCCGTTACCGAGGCGTCGGATCATCCGGAAATGGAACGCGTCATCATCAAAGCACGACGAAGATCAGTGACGGCAATAATGTCGTCACGTGCGTCTAGAAACGGACGCTTTTTCGCGGACCACCAACTCTTTCCTGATTTCATCTCCTTCTCCCTCTGTTCCGTCTTCCTCCTTTGAAGATTAAAAAATAAGACAAAGAGCAACACTGATCAGCTGGGACTTCTTTTGAAACGAGACTGCTGAACGAATGCGTGTCTTTCTCTTTTATTCCGCGCAGTTTGTCGCTTCTTTCGACACATTCCTGGCACGGTTTCGACGAATTCACATACGAATTTCTCGTGATTCCACGCTCAAGGCAATCACGTTTACGAACGCGAACTATGTGCAGTGATACGGCAATACGCGATAACAAGGATCAAAGAACGTCGCGCAGAATGTGGAAAACCAAAAACGAGAAACAATAGTCGTTCATACTTTCGCGCGGACATCAACCGAGCGGCTGCATCTTCGTACCCTTTATCTGCGGAAATCTATCGACTTTCCGTAAACTGTAATTGCCTCCAATCATATTTTATCGTAATTACTTAACGAAAAGAAGCTAGAGATCTCTCTCGTGCGGCACGGCAGTGCTCATGAATATAATGTATGTGTGTGTATATATACATACATATATATATGTACATAATTACATGTATATACGTATGTATGTATATGTATGTATGTATGCATGCCTGTGTGTTTGTGTGTGAAATGTATGTATGTGTATATATAGTGAAAGATGGTCCTGTCGCAATAATCGAAACTCGCGTTTCTCTGATCGTTTAGTCAAAAGAGAAAAAGAAGAACAATAGAAGAATAATAGGAACTGGTGTGCTGCCGGCCGTCCGTCATTTAACAGTAACTTTAAGCAGTAGAGAACTTCGCCGGTTTCATCTAGTACTTCTGCTAATATCTAACGAGTGTTCATCTCTCGTCGCGGCTATCTCCACTACCGCGACGAATCTACGCGTATACGCAAGCGCTTCTTTCGTCTTTTGTACCTTTCGCAATTGATTGTCATTTGTTTTTTTTTCCTTTGTCTCTCTTTCTCTTTCTATCGCCCGCCGAACTTCTCTCACCTTTCTACTTTTGACAATCGAGACCGCCGTCGGGGCGAAATGACTCGTTCGCTCACTCGCTCGTGCACTCGCCCATCCTATTGCCATTCGTCGTTGCTCACGGGACTCCTCGGTCGCAAAATCAAGTATTCACCGATGCACCTGACGATCTTATATTTCCTATATACACAAACATACGAAGCCGTACTGCAAATCCTGGACGAATGCATAGACGGCGGATACCGATCCGGCAGTGAGAATTATACAAGTGCTTATTCGGAAGCGCTTGTATAAGATTATTTAAGTTTGTACAAGACATATACATACACACATACTCATGCAGGCACGCAAGCACACGCACGCACGCAAGTACATGACATACATACACATATGGGCACACGTCAAAACTATAATGTCACTCGGTTCGTATTACTTACACCTTCGTACAAAAGCGTATAATCGAATGACAAAATGACAAAAACGCGGATCTACTTATAGGATATTTATAAAACGTAAATTTCAGATAAATAGATAGTTTACCAGCTATATGAAATAATGACACACATCTCTTCAGTAGAGAGGTACACACGTGCATCCACGCGTCCCCATACACCAACCCACATCGCCCACTTGTCTACACACGCACACAATATACATACATACGCACATTACGTACGCACGCAATCGCATGCGCGCGAGTGCAGGTTTACAATATACAGATTTAAAAATTAGGTAATTAATTTACAAAGGATTAAAAAAAATTAAATGTATGACTAATTAATATTAAAAAAATTACTAGGAGACTAATAGGTGATTTGCATATGTATATGCTCGTAGAACGAAGGAATGAATGCGTGTATACATGCGGGCGTGGTATGATAGTTTAAAGTTGACAACGTTGCGTTTATCACGGATCTGTTGGAGCTTTGACTTCATCAGTCTATTTCTCTCTCTCTCTCTCTCTCTCTCTCTCTCTCTCTCTCTCTCTCTCTCTCTCTCTCTCTCTTTCTCGGTCGTCGCAACGATCTCGAAACATATAGGCGAATTTATATAGGCTTGTGTCTCGCTCCCCCGATGCGTTCTTCCTATTCCGCGCGACCACGGCAGGATGACACGAATCGGTCGTGGCAGAAGCGCTCGATTATTATATTTTAGAAACGCATATAACGAAGGGGAGGGTCACGATATCGTCACGCAATGTCACGTTTGCGAAGACCGGTAACTATAACATCGGACAGAAACGATTTTTACAAAGCCAGATATGAATTTGCCGAGTAACGAAAATGCTCGCACAAGAAAAAAAGGTTGCCCGTCGGTGTGATAGCGTTCGTATGCGTAAAACATTGCGAAAACGCGAGAAGCATGAATCACAAGTGATTTTGTAATATTTCTTATAAGTTGTAGCTGCCATATCTAGTAATTAAGTACTAGGTGCGTTGAGTGATAATCTGACGACTGTTATGCTAATGATAACGATGATGATGACGATGATGATTAATGATGACAGTGATTATGATGACCGTACGTGCTGCGGCACATGTGTCTCAATTAATTTGGATGAATTGTGCTAAGATATTGAGAGAGACGACGGGTCTAAAGAAAAACAATAACATGTTCATTATAATTATGTAATTATAAATAAGAGGAAGAGACGAAGAATATTATAACACGTTGTTAATTGAATTAATAAAATTAGCCCAAAGTAACGAAGAGACGTTTGATTTGAGCGAAATTTATTGGCCTCTATGTTTTCGTTTCAACGGATGCCTTCTGGTGATGTGGCTTCTTTTAGCTGGTGCCATTGTCGGCATAAGCATATCTTCTGAATTCTCCGTCTTATTGCACTGCCTTTGGTCCATAGGGAACATGTACTCCAAGTCAATGTCATATCTACGTATTAAAAATTTTATTTTTAATCTCAAAAAATAATACGACAATATAATATTTGCTTTAATTCAAGTTTTCAATTATTTATTAATTTCTTATAAAACAAGCGTTTTTGGCATGCATAAAAATTTAATTCAAGAAATTATTGTTTCCCTTTCATACATCATTAATAAAGCATCTTAAAAATAAACGACTTTTAAAATTAACGATTTTAAAATTAACGAAATTGTATTCATATCTTATATTGAAGTATTTAAAAAATTATTTTTCGAAAGATGTGTATATGTTTAATAAGATTTAAAGAAACAATTTTACTGTAATCAGAATAGTATTAAGAGAAATATACCTAGGCAGTTTCTCTCGAAGATAAGAAATGACATTTGCCCCGAGGTTCGCTTTACGGCTCATGATGAAGCTAGATAAATATCTTGGGCTTTTACTCTTTTCAGCACAATGCATTAGTAACGCCCAGGATTTATAATCCGAATCTAATACGTATGTATTATACACTCCTTCGTCTGGAAAATATCGAACTCGCTATAAAATAATTCTATGAAAAATAAGTATTTATTTTTACCAAATTAAATTATTATAATTAATGATTCGTTCAGAAAATATATTTTTCAGAGAGCACATCTTGCAAGAAGTTTACATCTAGAGCTGGCTCCAGATGACTAACGACATGAGCAAATACAAATAAACAACTTGTTTCAAGGAAAATCGACGGTTTCGCGAATGTAAATTATTTATTGTCATTTGCTTGATCTGGATTCGCGGCTTAATATTATGATAAATTAATTTTTTTTTTAATGAATGAAAGAAAAAAATTGAATGAAAAGAATTAACTAATTAAAATTTTGAAATTAAATTAGAATAAATCATAAAAACAGAGCAAAATGAAATATGAAACTTTTTTTCATTATAATAGAAAAATTGAAAAAAATTAATTATTGCGAGATAAGTAACTCTGTGTTTACATGATAACTCAGCGTGCATCCAATGAGCAGGTAAGTCCGGCGAAGGGATTTTCCACGTGATGTTACCAACGAGCAGCTCGTTAATAGGATCGTCAGTAAAGCTGTAAGTGAAATTCATGGTAACTTCAGCGTTTTCAGGCGAAACCGAGAGCTCGGCTCTCATGCATCTGTACACGAGGGCTTCCTCTGAGCTTGCATAGTACTGTACTATGTACCACAATCCGAGAAACTGTAAGAAGCGCAAGATGTCTGTTACGTGCGAATGCATGTAGGCGTGAAGTCACGCGTGAAATAGGCACAACTATTTACCACGCCGTACCGATTTTATTCGCGCTAACGTATGCTAATAAATGTGTGCGGCCAACGGGTCAAGCGATTGTACTCGATAGTGAACGGTGTTAGAAATACGTTCAAAAATTTTCCAGATGTTTATCACTTCGTTTCCATTCAAAGACATGATTCATTGAAATTCTCTTATATTTCTTACAAATTTGTTTAACTTTTTTTTTACTTTTAACAGTGTGTTTGTTTATATTGTTTAATTGTATCATTTATATATAAACGTACTTGTATAAATTAAACTTTTACTATATTCAATATATTAAATTTTGACGTAACATTTATTGTGATTTGCTTTGATCTTTTTATAAGAAATTTATTTTTATAATAATGTTTAACTGTTGCTAAATATATAAAGAAATTCTATTAATAAGTTTCATATAAAATAATAATTCTCACTTATCACTACTAAAAAATAAAACTGAAGAACTACAAAAATATACGCTTTATCTTATCTGCAAAACCATACAACAAATTGCTGAGATTTATAACGGAAACGTGGGACACTTCAAAGTTTTGGGTTATCACAAGATATATGTATTGGGGTTTAGAGCCTATCTCTTATAAAGTCACACCCGGTTTAAAACGCAATATAATATTTTTAATATATATAGAATTTTTTTGTCTTTTTGAACTCATTAAAATTTTGATCTAAATTCATGTTGAATAAAAACAATAAAACAAGAATAGTTTGAAATTAAACTATCTATATTATGTTCATAAAGAAAGTCACAATCTTTATTTAAATTTAAGTTGCATCTTGCTTTAATTACTTCATAATTTTCCAAAATTGATATAAGAATTAAAACGCATTTGCAATACAATCCATTTCATTTACAGTATATATCACCATTTATGACAAAAGCAAACTAACGGAAATTGTCGCTTCTATATGAGCACGTCTGTAGTCTTCCTATAAATACGTATCAAATCTAAAAATAAATTCGCTGAACGCAACTCTGGAAAGAAAGTCTACGCAAGTACCGCTAAATTCTATAATTCCATAATATTCGCAAATAATATGTATTATAAAGCTTCAAAGTATTATTTTTGTAAAATAGTTTTTCCTCATTTTTTCTTTTTATCTTATTAAAATTTATTAAATAATTATGTACATACATTGTTAAATATTAAATATTATAATTTGCAACCGCATTTATATTATTTATTGTCAAGTTTCTTGCAATTTTATTATACATTAGAAAATTAGATCAATCGATTTTCTATAATTTTTAAAACAGAGTTGTCGAGCTGTACGGCTATTTAAACAAAAAACAAAGTGGTAGGTTTAATTGATACATGATATAATTTTCAAAAATGGATTTCCTATAGAAGTTAAACGTGAATTCATAAATTTAGCAAAAGTACTTTATATTCTGCAAAGTCATTTGTCAACTCTCTTATTTGCTTATTAAAACTCATAAATAAAAATGCAAAATATATCTCGTTCTTAATCATCAAAATGTTTGGCCAATTTTCTCTCTGTACTGTAGTTATTAAGTTTTTAATACATTTAATTCAAAACCCCTTTAAAAGTTAACAACTTAGTGTGTGTTAAATTTATTCGGTTTACTAATGGGAATATTAATATATAATATGTATAGTTATATGTTCGACAGCTTTTACTTTACTTTCATGTCAAATTATGTATTATTGTTAATTATACGGTAAACGATCGTTTCTATCGCTATTGCACATTGATCCTAATGATTAATTATGAATTATGTTCCATATAATTAATATTCAATTGACATATTCGGTAATAGTAAATGTTCATTATCCGTTTCCGAAATCACATCAGCGGCGTAATATGTCAGTACACTTCATATTATTTCGCATCAATATCGCACGTGAATGAAATGTATCAAACACTCATCTAATTTACATAAAATAATTAAATGAAGCGGCAAAAATATGCTTAAATCATCACTAATGGTGAAAATATTGATTTTGGTGACATTTCAAGCTTTACAATTAATACAAGAGTTAATTTTGAATTATAGAAGTAATTGTAATATTATAAAGACTTTTTAATAAAACTTAATTATAATGTAACTTATTTCTTTCGAAGACTTTTCCGAAAAAAATCTAATTCTTTATCAAATTATAAAAATTAAATATTCGCGATTTCAGAATGTAAAAATATTTTATATGTGACTATAAATATTTTATAGTTTATATTATAATTATTTTATAGCATTTAAGTATATATATATGGATATGTATGTATATGTATGTATTCTTTTAATGAAAAAGCGATCTACAAAATTTTATATAATTGGAACCACAGTTCCGGAAACAAGGAAGAGTTCAAATTTTTTGTTGATTTATCATTGTACGTACATGAGATAATCTTTATATTTATTATACATGAAATGTTTAAGTGTAAACAATTCTCATTTAAAATGTATAAATCGGAAAATTTATATCGTTTGATTTTCAATCGTTGTAAATTGCAAAAGATTCTATACCTCGGATATGTCAAAGTTGCGTATTCCCTTGACTTTTGGGCACTTGGTCTTATCCTCCCGTCTCTTCCAAACACTGTCGGCGTCGCCGATGAGAAATCCGATGATAAGCAGCGTTATTGTCAACCAGTAAAATCCCGAACGTCTTCTCGTTCCGGGATGCATCTTTACCGTGCATTCAGATTCCGCTCACAATAAACGGTATAAGCTGATCGGCTGGATCGCGCGCGACGTCTCTCCTTGACTGTCGGGACTTGCTCAGCGACTAGAGGCCACGTACATACCGAATGTACGAAGAACGGACGCGCGGCTCATGACTATTACACGGACGAAGAGGGGGTGGCCACTATCACGTTCCTCCCTTTGCATTCTTGCTGTTCCTTCGTTTTCAATCGGCAACTTGTTCCGCACGTACAATCCTCATAACTAGCGCCGGCTGGGATCCAGGACTCGTAGGCGTGATCGCCGTTTATAGCTAAAGAGACAAGCTATATTCCCGAGTCACTCGTTTTCTCTGAATTGTCCTGTTCTCTCTGGCTTTGTTCCTGACTGGGACCAGTGAAAGACTTCGTCTGCAAGATTTTTGCGATCCTTTCACGATTGTGAAGTTTACGATAGTTATTTCTCGTGAAAGAGTTGAATTATTATATTCGTACTAATGATAGATAATCGATATGATGATTTTACAAAAACACACACAAAATTAATACACAAAGTAAAATAATATAATGCATATATAAAGATAGGGATTGCAGAAATAGAGATAATTTTTTGGTTATCGATATGATCATAACAATTTTATTATTCAAATCAATCTGCAAGAAATAAATAAACATATAAATTTGATTTTAATTCATATTTTAAATATAATATAATGTGCGTTTCGATATACAAAAAATATTTCTATAATTCAAATGAATTAGCAAAGAAATACACACGTATTTATGTCAGTTTATATTAATTTTTTTATACATATAGTACATATTTTTATACATATATGTATATATATATTTAAATGAGATGTATACATTGCTTAATTCGTATAGTATGCATAGATATATTCATATAGTATGCGTAGGTATATCTTCATTAAACAATAACACACTTAGCACTGATTAATTTGAATACATTGGACGTGACAATACAACGCAATGTATTCATTATGTATATGAATATATAATGACATGTACAAATTAGGAATATATAATGACATGTACAAATTAAAGAAATAGCAATGTAATCGGTGCACTTTACCATTAACTTATTGTTTTTTTGTTGGATTAAAAATATGTGAATTGATTAGCTGGTTTTAGCAAAATATTTTTTCTGATTAAAATGTTGTCAAAGTAAACGGTTTTGCAAAAAACTGGATACATATTTTTGAGAGGTGATTTTACTTATAGTAATTACTTTAAAATGCTGAAAATAAATTTTTAAGGATGAAATATCATTGAAAGTATTATGTTTGTAAATGATAAAGCCAAAAATAACAATAATTTATATATTTATTTATGCATTTGTAGAAATTTTTTATCTCGTTCAAATACACGGTGTACGTGATACATACGTATTGATTATTATTCACTATGCACAATTGAAAATCGATTCAGTAATAGTACAATATCTCTTTAAACTAATATTAATATGCGTCAATCTATTCGAAGTAAACGTGTTTAACATACGAAAAATTTTATTCGTGTATATATGAAGAATTCTGATTATATTCGATTATTTCTGATTATTCGGTTAATTTTACATTTTAATTATATGAAATTTATATAGAAATTTAAGCTATACAAAATGGATTATATGCATTACACCTTTTTTTTTTATAATAATTAATATATTTATTTTTTAATAGTAATTAATTAATAATAATTAGATGATTTTTAAAATTTTTATAATCTTTAATAAAATAAAGATAAATATATTTATTTTATATTCTACATCAACACTTTTACATTTAATTGCATTGTTTCAATTTACTAAAAAAAAAGGAATGTATACTTGTTGTAATAGCTTGAGATAAAAAAATAAAGAAAAATTAAAAAATTGTCTTATTATATTAAAGCTTACATATTACTGTAACTGAAAATTAAGTTGTCCTCTTTAGGCAGCTTTAGAAACTTTTTGTTTCCGTTTCTCCAACAAAAGAGAATAACGTTAGATTTACGATTACAGATTTGATTATTCGGGTCATCTAATTGTAAGTTTAAAAGTTTAGTTGCTTCCCTGTAAGTAAACCACAAAATTAAGTTTATCGCTGGATAAGAGTTGTTTGAGCAAAATAACTTTATCGACACTTTGACCGCAAATTGTTGGACTGCGTAATCTGTTTATTAAATGATTACATATAACTTTTACGATATCTATCAAGAGTAGCCTTTTACGTCAAGTATATTTTTCGTAAAGTAAGTAATGTACATTTCTTTCATAAATAAGATGCTATGTATTTTATAGGAAATATGTCTTTGGAATCCTTTACACTTTACAGAAAAAGGAACGCAAATGTACATAAAAATATATTTTTAATTATATTTGCGCGGGTGTATATAGTATACATATATATGAAACAGTTCTAGAAGCGCAATGAATGTACGCCAAATCTGCTACACTACATTGATAAACTTATTATCAATTCGTCAGTTTATTATTTTATCACATATCCTTTTCCTCTATGACAATCACACTTACGAAAATATTTCGGAACGCAAAAACTAATGTTATGATAAAAATTGAAGGCGTCGGATATTTAATATAACAAAAATATTGGGTGTTAGGTTAATACTTTTAGCTGGAATTAGTTGAAAGAGAATAAAATCAAAGAGAAATAAGGAATGTTAGATTAAAAAAAGACTAAGAGATTATCTTAAAAAATATATCTTAGCAAAATGTACTTGCAATAGTTATATGAATATTAATACAAATTATAATGTTCAAAGTTTATATAACGCAACAATGTTTTATTAAGTTTGTTATTTTGCTATCAATATAATATTATACAATCATTTTTTATAAATCTTTCCAAAACTGCAAGACATGAAATAAGTAAATGTACATAAAACCATCTAAATACACACATCAAAACATAAACAAGAAAAATTATCGTCGGCCATTTTATTTTAGACAAAATAGTATTGAATATTGTATTCTCGCAATGGGAAAACAGGAAAAGAAAATGTAAAAATTTAAGCAAATTAATACAGTATATGAAAAAATTTTTTATTCAATTTTCGTCTTGCAGAAAAATAGATTGATATTTGTTCCATATAAAAAAATTTATTACTGCTAATTAAGTACACTGTACTCTGAATTCAGTTGCCATAATCGACCTCATCTATGCCTTCGGAATCATTGTCATCATATGTTGTACATCATTTCCAAGGAGGCTTGTTTCTCTGATCTATTTTTGTAAGCATTTTTTGCGGAAGTGGTATATGTTCACTAATATCGTGTACAGTCTAGCAGAGAAAATGATATTATTCGTATATATACATATATGTGTGTCTTAATTATCAAATTTTAAACAAACCTCGGGACTTTGTTGCCACGTGACGCTATCCTCACTCATACTCAATTCCTTTTTTAAGTAATGTTTCCGCGGTATCTCTCTGCATCCTAATGGCGGACTCGAAATACTACTTCTGAGTTTTGGATCTTTGTCTTCTTTTGCTAACTGCATTTCTGCAATCTATAAAAAATTTGTTTACGTTTGATCGTGAATATTTTTTTAAGATTATCATCTGAATATTAATCACCATTTTCACATATTTTCGAAAATCATCCTTCGATTCATTTCTATTGGTTAATGGCGCATTTTCGACAGAATTCATTGTTACCACGCTTTCGTTATGATCTTCAACAGGTTGTGTATTAATTAAATTACGTGCTTCTAACGATTGAGCGGTATGTTTTATTAATTCCTGAGAAAGTTTAGTGTAACAATTTGGCATTGATTCTGATTTTTTAGGACCTTTAGAATCAAAACATTTATCACCGTGAATTTTTTGAATCGGAGAAATATTATCCATGTTACTTCCTGTAATAATTTTTTAAATTTATGTACAAAAGTTATCATGATGATATTAACAATTAATTGTATGTGAATTCAAATATCTCATCAATCGACATATTCAGTGACTAACCTGATATAATGTGTAGAGCCTGTTGCCATTGCTTTTGCATAACGGAATGCAATTGTTCCGCAAGTTGAGATTTTGATGCACGCTGAGAATTCAAATGTTTTTCTAATAGAGATGATCTCTGTAAAGCTTGAGCTAATTGCAGTTCGCATAATCGTTTTTCCTCTTTATGTTTTTCCTCTAGTAAGTTTATTTCTAAACGATGTCTAAAAAAATTCAATATATATATATATATAACTTAGAAGATTAAATTGTACATATTTTATTGCGCTGCTATATAAAAATGTATAAGAAACGAACTTATCAATAACATCCTTTATCTTCCTAGCAGCGCATTCAGCTATAACTTGCTGTCTTGTTTTTAATTCCTCTAAAAATTCTGATTCAGCATTATCAAGTTGCATTTGAAATTCTTGCAATTTTGCTTTTACCACCTCATCAACCTGTTTCTGATAAACCTCTTGTAATTCTGCTCTGATTTTTTCCTTTTGTTCTGCAACAGACTTGGTTTCATCTTTAGCTAATTTCTGAAACAATAAGCACAAATAAGTACATGGTAAGTAAATGGTTAATAAAAATATAAAATTTAATAACTGTAATAATAATTCTACATATATATTACTTCTGCTTTCTTAGCGTCGTCAATGGATATGAGTAACAATGAATTTTTCTGATCTAAAATAGAATTTCTATTTATCTCTTCTTTAAGCTTAAGTTGCAAACTCTCTTTTTCTTGTCTGAGTACTGTCAATTCAGCTTCACAAGTATCTAATGCTTTATGAATAACTCCCATCTCATTTCGCACTTCTCCTCCCCTCAAACGTTCTTTATTCAATTCCGATTGAACAGTTCTTAATATTTCTTCGTTTTGTTGGTTCTTCTCTAACAACTTGTTAAATTCTATCTTCATTTGCTCATATCTATTTTCTGCTTCTTGAACCAATGATTTGTAACTTTCTAATTCGTCTGCATGAGTTTTTAACACATCAACTTTTTCTTTGATCATAATGTCACTCTTCTCTTTATATCCAGCTGCTAAATCTAAAGCTTTCGATAACTCTCCTTCCAGCCGTTTAACTTGTGTTTGAAGTTCTAACATCTCAGACTGATGCTTTTCTGTGATATTTTGCAAATTAGTCTGTGAATTTT